CACCTCTGTTCATCAATTTGCACTGGCTACCAGTAGCTGCTCGTATAAAATTCAAGGCATTAATGTTTGCCTACAAAACCACCACTGGCTCTGCGCCCCTTTACCTAAATTCATTGCTTCAGATTTATGTGCCCTCTAGACGCTTGCATTCTGCAAGTGAACGTCACTTTGTTGTGCCATCCCAAAGAGGCACAAAATCACCTTCTCTGACTTTTACATTAAATGTTCCCTCCTGGTGGAATGACCTGCCCAAATCAATCTGAGCAGCTGAGTCCTTAGCCATCTTCAAGAATCGGCTAAAAACACATCTCTTCCATCTTTATTTGACTAACTCTAGCACTCTATTCTAATTCTATTCTTTAAAAAAAAAAACTTGTCCCTTTTAGATTTGCACTCTATTCTTACTATTCTTTTTGCATTCTCTATTCTTTACTTACTGTTTGTTTTCTTAAAAAAATAATAATAATAATAACACTAGCTTCTCTAATCTTTTTGTATTCTATCTGTTTTCTTTTTATTTATTAAAAAAACCTTTACTGCGTTAAGCTAACTGTTATAGCACTTGCATATCATTGCTCTTTTGTTGATTTGATTGCTTCCATTGTCCTCATTTGTAAGTCGCATTGGATAAAAGTGTCTGCTAAATGACTAAATGTAAATGTAATGTAAATTTACATGTCTTATTTCTAAGAAATATTAAGGTTTAGTGAGGTCTATGCTTAAAATAATGAAAATACTCAGTTTGATATAAATCTCATTCGGTTGTAACAAACTGCAATACATTTGACTTCAAAACTTATTAAAATAAAACATACTATAGATATTTTAATTTTTTTAATACACGGTATATTCTAAAACTTGAAACCTTTACAACTAATCTGCATAAAAAAATGAAAACGCCACTAGATAAAAAGATTGTGCTGTGAAATGTAGCACCATTTTTAAACATTTGAAAATAATCCCTGTTAAAATAACAAAACTAAAACTACAAAAACTGAAACTAGAAAACACAAAAAAATAATGATTAAAGAATGAAAAATACAAACTTAAATTAGTTTTAAAAAAACTTACAAATTAAAACTATAATAACCCCTGAGGTCAATGATTAATGAAGGGACTCTGTGTTTGTGTGAATAGAGCCCAGATTGTTTGTGTGTAGTTTTTCTAACCGTTTGGTTTGCAGGGCTTCAACTCTGTCGCCTCCAGGACCGTTACTAACAGTCGCCCGATTCCACTGTTCTTCTGCGAGCGAGCTAAACACCATACACAGGCTTTTATCAATAAAGCTACATTCAATCACATTGACTTTGACTCTTAATAGTCATCAATAAATCCCAACCTTGGTATGCTTTCTCTCTTTTCAGCTTCCCAGTCTCTATGAAGTGGTCAGATGCTGCCTTGATCTTCTGTACCCATGTAGTCCTAATTTAACAAGAAAATGATCAATACTGTTGTACAACAGATACTCACTGTAATAAATGAGTATTTTTGCTTTATACTCTAAACTGAATGATTTATAGCCTTTATTTTACTTTAAGTTCAGTGGATCATGTGCGTGTATGATTGCAGCTTTAGGCCTTTATCTGAGCATTTTAGCTTGAATGTTAGTATAGTAGGTGTACCTCTCATTAATGGTGTCAGCCTTAAGAGTGTAAACACGATCAATGTGTGAGATGTGAAAAACTGGATCATCACTGGAAGGGTCAGAGGGCATTTTTACCAAGACCTCATTCAGAAACACTGGCTAGAATAAGAGAGACAGAGTGTCAGATAGGGACATTTTACAGAGAGTTTAACAGAACAAGCTCCAGATGGACACCAGTCATGTTGCTTTACCGTTTTATACATCTTGTACTGTGCATTTGAGTTGGGATTGAAGAGTTTGTCAGGCCCAGATGAGAACTGTTTGGAGGTGTAGGTGAGGAGCAGGAAGTCGTTAAACAGGAAGGCCCAAAGCTCCTTGCTGCTCTTGGTCTTATGTAGTTTGCCGCTGTGCAGCAGTTTTCGAGGGCCCAGGCAGTTCGTCAGAGAGTTAAAAACGAGGTGCTAAAATGAGAATATTACACAAAACATTTTCATAGATACCATATCACATAATAAAAGCTGTTGTTTTATACTTAGAGGTCATTATGTAGCACAGGAAGGTCAACAGCAGCTCTCCTGCAGTGATCTCACCTCAATGACTCCATCACACAGCACATGGTTCTGGATCCATTCCAGCCGGTCAGAGTTTTCCTTCTCTCTCACGCCCTCGTTCACCTGTGAGCACAACTCCTCGGCCTGCTCCAGTGCCGCCTGCAGGTTTGCGTGATCTGCATGAGTTGAAGGGGTATTCTCCAGAATCTATACCATCAGATTTCAGAAACGACAAGCAAATGATTTGCCTAAATAAACATCATGTATATTGCTGAATTAAAGAAATGTAAAAATTTTTTACATTTAAAAAATGTTTTAATATTTATTTCATTTTTCATCCTACCACTTATGTTAATACTATTAATACTAATAATAACAATAATAATGCAATATTACTGTATTAATGTTGATAAATTTTGTTATTCCATATAAAGTACACTATTATTTTTGGAAACATTTTACAGTATTTATTGTGTATACGTCTTTTCAGAATTAATTGAAGAATAGAAAGTTTAAAAGAGCATTTATTTGAAAAAAAATGTTGTCTTAACTGTCACCTTTGATAAGTTTAATGTCTTTGCTGATTTAAACTATTCATTTCTTTAAAAAAAAAAATGTTACGAACCCCAAACTTTTGATTTAATTTTGTCAGTAT